AAATACTTTTACATATACACACTTTTAGAATGTATTATACATATATATATATACAGTATATGGTATGTATACTGTATGTTTATATACTAGTACGTTAATTAATAAAAGGGTATTCTAACTTATTCTATATGTTTCATATTGTTTGATGTATGCATTTAGATACTCAATGTATATATGTTATTTATTACATTTTTTGGGCACTGGTTTCAGACAGAGGGTGAAAAGCAGAGAGGGCAAAAGTACACACATCCTTTACTCAAGTAGAAGTACAGATACTCGTGTTTAAAAATACTCTGGTGAAAGTAGAAGTACTGACTAAACTTCTTTACTCAAGTCAAAGTAAAGAGGCTTTGAAATGTACTTCAGTAAAAAGTACCCATAACTAGCAGCTGTTTTAAAGAGTACCTGACCTCCCTTTATATTAATAGAACAATAATGTCATTGTTAGCTAATGAATGTTTCCATGCTGAACAACGGCAACATGACAACGTTTTCATTGGTCCCTCTTCTTTAGAGAAGACCAGGAAATGATGGATACACGGATCGTGTTCAAATCAATAGGCACGCAATGACTCTAAATAATAATGATCACGCCACCAAACACACATTCAAACTAAAGGAACCAGCCTGTTTGGAAAATGTGAGAAGTAGAAAGTACAGGTATTTGTGTTCAACATGTAAGAAGTAGAAAGTACAGGTATTTGTGTTCAACATGTAAGAAGTAGAAAGTACAGGTATTTGTGTTCAACATGTAAGAAGTAGAAAGTACAGGTATTTGAGTTCAACATGTAAGAAGTAGAAAGTACAGGTATTTGAGTTCAACATGTAAGAAGTAGAAAGTACAGGTATTTGTGTTCAAAATGTGAGAAGTAGAAAGTACAGGTATTTGTGTTCAACATGTAAGAAGTAGAAAGTACAGGTATTTGTGTTCAACATGTAAGAAGTAGAAAGTACAGGTATTTGTGTTCAAAATGTAAGAAGTAGAAAGTACAGGTATTTGTGTTCAAAATGTAAGAAGTAGAAAGTACAGGTATTTGTGTTCAACATGTAAGAAGTAGAAAGTACAGGTATTTGTGTTCAACATGTAAGAAGTAGAAAGAACAGGTATTAGTGTTCAACATGTAAGAAGTAGAAAGTACAGGTATTTGTGTTCAACATGTAAGAAGTAGAAAGAACAGGTATTAGTGTTCAACATGTAAGAAGTAGAAAGTACAGGTATTTGTGTTCAACATGTAAGAAGTAGAAAGTACAGGTATTTGGGTTCAACATGTAAGAAGTAGAAAGTACAGGTATTTGTGTTCAACATGTTAAGAAGTAGAAAGTACAGGTTATTTGTGTTCCAAAATGTAAGAAGTAGAAAGAACAGGTATTGGTGTTCAACATGTAAGAAGTAGAAAGAACAGGTATTAGTGTTCAAACATGTAAGAAGTAGAAGTACAGTATTTGTGTTCAAAATGTAAGAAGTAGAAAGTACAGGTATTTGAGTTCAAAATGTAAGAAGTAGAAAGTGAAAGTACCAGGTATTTGTGTTCAAAATGTAAGAAAGTAGAAAGTACAGGTATTTGAGTTCAAATGTAAGAAGTAGAAAGTACAGGTATTTGAGTTCAAAATGTAAGAAGTAGAAAGTACAGGTATTTGGGTTCAACATGTAAGAAGTAGAAAGTACAGGTATTTGGGTTCAACATGTAAGAAGTAGAAAGTACAGGTATTTGTGTTCAAAATGTAAGAAGTAGAAAGTACAGGTATTTGAGTTCAACATGTAAGAAGTAGAAAGTTCAGGTATTTGTGTTCAAAATGTAAGAAGTCATAAGGAAAAAGTCGTCAGAAAAATAAGTAGTGAGTAAAGTACTGATACCAGAAACATTGTACTTAAGTACAGTAACGAAAGTATTTGTACTGTGATATTGATGAGATGTGTACCTGCTGGTTGGGGAGCTCCCTGCTGGTGCCAGTGGTATTTCCACGCTGGGGTGAGGCTGCCTGCAGGAGAACAGAGGAGTCCACCTCCAAACTCTGATACAGCTTACTGTACGCCACCCACTTTCCTGTGGCACACACACACACACACACAACACACACCACACACACACACACAACAACACCAACACAACACACACACACACACACACACACACACACACACAACACACACACAGAGACACACCCACACACACACCACACACACACACAAACACACAACACAGATGAGACACACCCCACACACCACACACACACACACACACCACACACACACACACACAAGAGACACACACACACACACACACACACACACACACCACACACACACACACACACACACACACACACAACACCACACACACACACACACACAGCGGACACACACACACACACACCACACACACACACACACACACACACACACACAGAGACACACACACACACACACACACACACACACACACACCACACCACACAGAGACACACACCACACACACACACACACACACACACACACACACACAGAACACACACACACACCACACACACACACACACACACACACCACACACACAACAACAACATATACACACACACACACACAACCACTCACACACACACACACACACACACACACATTCACCACACAAACACTCACAACACACACACACACACGCACACACACACGCACACAACACAATAACATAAAAAGACCATTACAGTAGTAGCAATGACATGATAAGGACAGCACCAGAAAACCCTATGTAATTTATATTCTTGATGACAACTGTCTTTCGTGCGTCCACCATCTGTTTGCAACTCATATTCCAATGACTTGTATATAGACTCCCATAGCACTATTTGTATCTGTTTTATTGTGTTGCTCTGTTGGAGGAGCCTAAGATTTCAATTGACATATCTACACTGTAGCTGCTGTACAAATGACAATAAAACGTACAAACTGATTTTGAAAATGATATTATGTGTACTATGGATAACACAAACAATGTTGACTCCTAGGGGTTAACAGGGAACTGAGTTACTGATATGCAAACGATCATTTTGTGAATGTTTTTCCTTAAACTCACGCCAGGTCCTGCAGAAAAGGTGAGAGGTCGTTCTGCGTGGCGTAAAACTCCAGCAGCGTCTGAGCCTCGCCGCAAAGATCGCCTTTCCACGGAGCCGAGCCCTGAGAGAGAAGTGACTTTAATGTGATGCCACGATACGATAGTACTTTAATGGTCAGAGTAAAAGAAGAAGTATTCAGATCTTGTACTAGAGTAAAAGTAGAAGTACCAGAGTGTAGGAATACTCTGTTTCAAGTAAAAGTTGAAAAGTATTATCATCAAAATATAGTTGTGTGTGTGTGTGTGTGTGTGTGTGTGTGTGTGTGTGTGTGTGGTGGTGTGTGGTGTGTGTGTGAGAGTGTGTGTGGTATGTGTGTGTGTGTGTGTGTGTGTCTGTGTGTGTGTGTGTGTGTGTGTGAGAGGTGTGTGTGGTGTGTGTGAGTGTGTCTTGTGTGTGTGTGTGTGTGTGTGTGTGTGTGTGTGTGTGTGTGTGTGTGTGTGTGAGAGAGTGGTGGTGTGTGTATGTGTGTGTGTGTGTGTTGTGTGTGTGTTGTGTGTGTGTTGTGTGTGTGTGTGTGTGTGTGTGTGTGTCCTGTACCTGTTGCTTGGAGATGTAAGCCTCAACAAACTGCTGCAGGATCCCGCAGTAGTTGATGTACGAACTGCGACCGGCGCTCAGAGTCCCGTCTCTCTGTCAGAAAACACACATTATTACACCAAGAAACACCAGAACATTTGAAATAGACCCTGTTCTTCTTTTGGGGATTTCCCCTCTCCTGCAGTGAGATCTATGGGTTTGTGTGCATGTAAATGGTCTGCAAACGCTAAAATCCCCATGAAACGCCTCCATTGGACTCCTTTGTTTACTTTCTGAACATGCAACATAAGCTAAGGGGCGGGACATCTCTAAGCGGTTGACCAATCACAACAGAGTACTTTTCATTCTGCTTGTAGTAACTTTGTGTCTCTTTGCTATCATCTTTGTTCCTTTTGAGGTCATTTTCTGTCACGTTTTCTGTCTCTTTGTTATCATATCTTTGCTTTTTGAGGTCATTTTGTTTTATAAATGTTTTGTTCTTTAGATTTGGATTTGTTTTACGTCTCTTTGTCATGATTGATGTCTCTTCGTGGTAGTTCCACCCCTTTCCATAGACGTTTTAAATGTCTTTATCCAAAATGCGCTCACATAGTGACATCACTTTGTGTCACTGGCGCTTCTATTGGCTAGCGCTCCAACATAAGCTAAGGGGCGGGACATCTCTAAGCGGTTGACCAATCACAACAGAGTAACTTTCTGTCTGCTTGTTGTAATTTTCTGTCTCTTTGAAGAAACTTTTTGTCGCTTTGTTATCATATTTTTTCCTATTGAGGACATTTTCTGTCACATGTTGTGTCTCTTTGTGGTAGTTCCACCCCTTTCCGTAGACGTTTTAAGTGTCTTCGTGTCTTTTTTTAGCTAATATGCTCTTTTCTTTACCGCTTTATGGATGAACTTGAGGTTCAGGTGGCACTGTCCGCGGTCGGGATACGTCTCTGTCCTCGGCTCCAGATTGTACCAGTTGTCTTCAGTACAGTGGAGATCCTACAGCGAGAAAATACATGTTATATTACACCGGGACGAAAAGTAATATAGCAGATGTAAGAATAAGAATTTATACCTGTAGTTTTAGGACCACTTTCCCCAAAAAGTCATCTGTTCCTTTCTCCTTTTGGGCCTCCTTGATCATCCTGAACAGGTAGAAGTATACATGATTTATCTTGGTCATCTATTAGTGTTTCAATCGCAGAGAGAGTGATTCGTACCGTCGTAAACTGTTAAAGTTGCTTTTGATGTCCTCTAGTTTCTGAGTGAGAGAAACCTGCTCGTCTTTATCCCTGAAACAGAAAACAGCAAAGTGAACGTAAAGGAGAGGAAGATTGTTAAAGGAGACAGAAAGGAAGTTTTGAGTGTTTGCTCTGGTGCTTTTATAGTTGTTTATGTCTTTCTGCAGTTTTATTGCGTCTATATGTAGTTGTTTTGTGTCTCATTAGGCGCTTTCACACCGGAGTACTTTTCCCGTTTAGTTCCGTTAGTGCCTGGAATTTTGCGTTCACACCAAAAAGAGAACTTAGTTCAGAGAACTGTTACCCCCATGTTTAGTGCCTGGTAGAGAGGTGGGACTATCCTGGGAGAAAAAAGTACCAATTTCTGATTGGCTGGGCGAATTAAACCACGCCTCGCAAAACTCTGAAAGGTTTTGTGAAGCCGCCATTTTATTTGCTGGCATTAGCATTATTAGCATTAGCATTCGCCCAGCGCACAAACGCAGAGAGACTAACTTATGGCAACACAAAAGAAAACATGGGAGCGGTGGAGATGAGGAGGTGTCGGCGTTCTGGCGATTTACTCTGAAGGCTTCAGTAGAAGCTGCTGGGAGTCCCAGCAGCTTCTACTGAAGCCTTCCCCAACTCCGGGGACTTCGGGCCGGGGACTCCGGGTGGCAGTATACGCCGTGAAGTGGTTTGTGGCCTGCCAGTAAACCCAAAGCAGAAGAAGAAGAAGTGACGTCAGCGGCTCATTTGCCTAATCCATCCCCAGGAACTTATTCCGGTGTGAACGCCATCTGTACTTAGTGCCATGGGGGAACTAAGTTCTGATGAACTAAGTTCTGATGAACTAAGTTCTGATGAACTAAGTTCAGATGAACTAAGTTCAGATGAACTAAGTTCTGATGAACTAAGTTCTGATGAACTAAGTTCTGATGAACTAAGTTCAGATGAACTAAGTTCTGATGAACTAAGTTCTGATGAACTAAGTTCTGATGAACTAAGTTCAGATGAACTAAGTTCAGATGAACTAAGTTCTGATGAACTTAGTTCATCAGAACTAAGTTCTGATGAACTAAGTTCTGATGAACTAAGTTCAGATGAACTAAGTTCTGATGAACTAAGTTCTGATGAACTAAGTTCTGATGAACTAAGTTCAGATGAACTAAGTTCTGATGAACTAAGTTCTGATGAACTAAGTACGGCAAAGTACTTGGTGTGAAAGCGGCTTTTGTAGTTGTTTGTGTTTATTGTAGTTGTAGTTGTTCTGTGTTTATTGTAGTTGTAGTTGTTCTGTGTTTATTGAAGTTGTACTGTGTTTATTGAAGTTGTACTGTGTTTATTGAAGTTGTACTGTGTCTCTCAGAAGTTGTTTTGTGTGTCTTTGTATCATATCAATAACTTTAACACAGTAATAGTGAAGCTCTTCATGTTCTCCTTACCACATCTCGAGGTGAAAACTTGCGCCAGCGAAGTCTTCAAACTCTCTAAACCAAAAAGAAACAAATATCAGAAAAACAAACTTCCACCTGAGGTAAACAACAACAACAACAACACGTTTACACTCACAGTATGAAGGTTTGGTTCCAGATGGGGTTCAGAGTTTGCTTCTTTATGTCAGATTGGAAGATTTTATCATCGGAAACGGCGTCTTTTACAATAGATTTAGAGGGTTTGGATCTGGATCGACGCGTCCGACTCTCCTCCTCGTCCTCCATTACGGTTATAATGCAGTACGGGTCACTGAAACCTGGGAAACACGCAATAAATTAGGAGAAGACTCAATGCCACAGTCTGCTGACATGTAGCACGGCAGTATTTCAAAAATAAAGAGATAGCAAGAGATTACTCCACTGAGACCACAGCTAACAGGAAGTGAGAGGAGTGTGTACAATGTCTGCATGAGAACTGAAACATGTCACTTTGGAGGAATTAAATCAACATGCAAACCTCTCAAATATTACATTTAGAAATACTAAATCCTCAGAATCAATTTTCTTTAAATGCCAAGCATGCTAATTGACATGCACAATGATTAGGCTAAAATGTAAATGTTTAGCACGTATCTTTTGTTTTTGCATGCTAACATTTGCTCACTAGCACTGAATTAGCATTACTATTTACTATTTACTTGCACTATATTTTTCTGTTTATCTGTGTTATTGTGTTGCACTGTTGGAGAAGCCTGTGACCTAAGAATTTCATCGGCATAACTACACTGTAGCTATGTTCGTATGACTAAATAAAGAACCTTGAACCTTGAACACAAAGTGCGGCTAAGGCTAACGGATCAGTATTTCTGCAGGTTCTGGTGATTTGAGACAAATACGGTCTAACAATTAGACATTTGTGCTTCTGTTTTTCAGAGAAATTAGCACTTGTTTACGTGATTAAGGCCTTTTCTGAGGAGACATTGTGAACATCAAAGTGGATTTCTCCGACCATCGTCATCTTGCCAGTGAATCAAACATTTAGGTAGCAGAAGACCCCAGAAATCGGCACCATCAGTGAAATTAATTCAACAGACAGCTAGCAATCCATGTCATTAAATGCTCATTTAAGCATGCTAAAATGCTGAAAATGAAGATGCTAAAATTGAAATGTTTAGCAGTTGTCCTTTTTAAAGTTAAATTACAGTAGGTGTTAATAAAACTGTGGCGGAAACGTGACAACTTTGATCTTTTGATGGCTCTAATAAAGGAAAATCAGCAGGTCACCAACTCATAAGGGTTCATCCTTACCACTGACGTCTTTTCCCAGAATTCCCTTGGCTTCCTTCACGGTGGCCATGAGGCAGTAAACTGGGGGCTGTAAAAGATATTAATTCAGATGCACATGTCTTAATTTCTTCCACTGGTATAATAGAAAGTGGTTGAAGCTTGTTATGAGTGCTTTAAATAGACATGAGGGGTCTCTGAAGGCGCATTCATTGGAAAATGCTGACTTTCTGTTCTCACCTCTGTCCCCTCCGCTCGCTCTGCCAGGCTCTCGTGCTCCGACTCTGTCATAGTGAAAGCCTGGTGGATGGAAAACAACAAACTGTCAAAAACACTGCAGTATTGAGTCCTAACATCGAGACACGACTCAGCTTTTTTTATCTGGAAGTTTGAAATAAGTGGTTAACGTCAGTAAATAGGCCTACCCCACTGGTGAAATTTAAAACGGCTAAACACCATCACGCGCAACATTAGCCGCCTTTAGCTTAGCGGTGGTGACGTGAAGTCATGTGACTGTGCTGTAGTTCCTTTATTGCCCAACATTAGCCACCTTTAGCTTAGCGGTGGTGATGTGAAGTCATGTGACTGTGCTGTAGTTCCTTTATAGCCCAACATTAGCCACCTTTAGCTTAGCGGTGGTGACGTGAAGTCATGTGACCGTGCTGTAGTTCCTTTATAGCCCAACATTAGCCACCTTTAGCTTAGCGGTGGTGACGTGAAGTCATGTGACCGTGCTGTAGTTCCTTTATAGCCCAACATTAGCCACCTTTAGCTTAGCGGTGGTGACGTGAAGTCATGTGACCGTGCTGTAGTTCCTTTATAGCCCAACATTAGCCACCTTTAGCTTAGCGGTGGTGACGTGAAGTCATGTGACCATGCTGTAGTTCCTTTATAGCCCAACATTAGCCGCTTTTAGCTTAGCGGTGGTGACGTGAATTCATGTGACCGTGCTGTAGTTCCTTTATAGCCCAACATTAGCCACCTTTAGCTTAGCGGTGGTGACGTGAAGTCATGTGACCGTGCTGTAGTTCCTTTATAGCCCAACATTAGCCGCCTTTAGCATAGCGGTGTTGACGTGAAGTCATGTGACCGTGCTGTAGTTCCTTTATAGCCCAACATTAGCCACCTTTAGCTTAGCGGTGGTGACGTGAAGTCATGTGACCGTGCTGTAGTTCCTTTATAGCCCAACATTAGCCGCCTTTAGCTTAGCGGTGGTGACGTGAATTCATGTGACCGTGCTGTAGTTCTTTTATAGACTATCGTTAGCTTTTAACTTCATAAAGTGGTTTTAATATGTGGAGATTATCATGCTGAACAAAAAGTGTTTCATAAACGTTTGAGATTATTTTCTGCGATAATCAAAAATCCCATTGAACCGGGGAGATGCTGCCTTCAGGGTCCAACACAGAAATCCAATATACCTGCATTTTGTTATACTTATCAGCACAGCAGTTATGTCAATGTGTTTACCTCCTTAATGTACTGGTGAAGTTGGTTTTCTGTGAAGATCTCGGTTGTTGAAGGTTTTCCCATCTTATGAGTGATGGTGTACAGCAGCTCTTTGTACAGAGGCTTCAGCTTTAAACGGAAATGAAGACAAAGTGAGATCTGTCCGTTGGGAAAACTATTTAAAAATCATGTAAAGTACAAACACATGATCGGTGATACCTCACGCTCTTTGTGTTTCCGTGCTTTCTCTTCTGGGTTTTCATCTTCTTTCAAATCCTAAAGGGAAAGAACAGAGCATTTTATACATGAGGCACTACAGGTGAATAGGGTAACAAAAATAATTATTAGATATCAGAATGAAACTTCCCTAGTTTATGACTGACATTAAAATAATTATATTTTGCATTATGAGTTTTCTGAAATGTTATGTTTTAATATGCAAATGAGGCTTGTAATGCTAACTTTTGCCGATTTAAGGAGAAAACTACAGAGGCAAATAGCCTTATAAATAAATAAATAAATGTGGATTCTTACGTTTCCCTTCCACTGGTAAATGGCTTAAAATCTCTAAATTGATGAATGCACGAGAAACCATGTTTTTGCCTTTAGTTTGCCTTAAGATTTTAATGTAAATTTGAGAGCTTTGGAAGGTCACCTACCCTCCTTTCTCGCATTTTCCTCGTAACCCCCAGTTTACGTGAATGGCTGGGCGACAACTGTCAAGAGAAGGAAAAGTCAGAAATCAACTACATACTGATATACACCTGAACATCAGCAGGAGAGGACTCTTTAAAGTAGAGACACTACATACTGATATACACCTGAACATCAGCAGGAGAGGACTCTTTAAAGTAGAGACACTACATACTGATATACACCTGAACATCAGCAGGAGAGGACTCTTTAAAGTAGAGACACTACATACTGATATACACCTGAACATCAGCAGGAGAGGACTCTTTAAAGTAGAGACACTACATACTGATATACACCTGAACATCAGCAGGAGAGGACTCTTTAAAGTAGAGACACTACATACTGATATACACCTGAACATCAGCAGGAGAGGACTCTTTAAAGTAGAGACACTACATACTGATATACACCTGAACATCAGCAGGAGAGGACTCTTTAAAGTAGAGACACTACATACTGATATACACCTGAACATCAGCAGGAGAGGACTCTTTAAAGTAGAGACACTACATACTGATATACACCTGAACATCAGCAGGAGAGGACTCTTTAAAGTAGAGACACTACATACTGATATACACCTGAACATCAGCAGGAGAGGACTCTTTAAAGTAGAGACACTACATACTGATATACACCTGAACATCAGCAGGAGAGGACTCTTTAAAGTAGAGACACTACATACTGATATACACCTGAAGATCAGCAGGAGAGGACTCTTTAAAGTAGAGACACTACATACTGATATACACCTGAACATCAGCAGGAGAGGACTCTTTAAAGTAGAGACACTATACTGATATACACCACATAAACAAATAAAATAAATGTTGAAAAGCAGTGTTACCTGTCTGAGTCCTGCTGATCCATGTCCCTGGAAAACAAAAAAAGATGCTCAGGTTTAAATCCAGGGAATCAAACCATGACGTATTTATTTTAACTAGTAATTTAAAGTTAATTCTGTATCATGAATGTGCAAACAGACCTCCATTTGCACAAAACAAAATTGCATCACTAGACTGAAGACACACTTGTTTTTGATTTCCTGATAAGGCCGGCCGCTGAGGGACTTCCTCTCTCGCTGATAATAAAAAGACTGACAGGAAACAACCCTCAAATACAAACCCAAGGAATGAATAGCAGCTGTTACTGAAAATATATATGCAAATACACCTGTAACCATCACACACATCACACACATCACTAGTATTCAATTATGTTTGCATATAGTAAACAAATACTGTCTCTTTAAACATGGCTGGATTATTTCAACAATAGGATTTCAACATTTGCTGAGACATGGTTTGTGTGTGTGCACTAAGTCAGGTTAAAATGCCCCAAAAAACTGTTTTATTTTCACTTTTGTAGCATGCAACCACCCTATCATCCACATGTGTATTACTTTTGCTCTGCAGGATACAAAGAAGTTAGAAAAACAAGTTATTTTTTATTAATTTTGAATCATCTGATCCAGGGGCGTCGCTTGCGAACAGGCAAGGCAGGCAACTGCGTGGGGCCCAGGACCAGAAGGGGGCCCCCAAAGAAGGTCGATTAAGAAGGTCCACAGCAACGACAACATGAGACACCCTTTAATTTACTGCAACGACACGTCGGGAAGCCCCCTCAAGGCGGCCCCATGCATAGCGCGCCGTAAAATGCTACTTCTTATCTTAAAGTGGACCTATCATGCTATATTTGAAACATATATTGTAGGGCCATACCTATATAAAACATGTCTGTGAAGTTTTTCAAAATACCAAACAGATCACCCGTTGCAGCCATGCCTCATACTGCTCAAACCCCTCTTTTGAAGCCCTGTTAGAGAAACGCGGATCTTGGGTCCTTAGCTTGAAAAAAAAGAAATAAGAGGAGGCGGAGCTAATGCCTGATCAGAATTCTACCGGAGATAAAGTTAAATTCTGGTGTGATAAAACGCCATCCTGTTCTAAACCACGACAAGGATTATTTCTGAAATAGTATGGAGCTCAAATGCTTTTTCTCTCTCAGGTTTATCACAAGGTGAGTTCTTTTTTGTATTTCCTGCTTTTTAAACACATGTGCTCTCCAGTACAGGTTAGCTCTGAGTGTTAGCGAGGCTTGCTAATGTAAACAAAGACGAGATTACGTCCAAAACACGTCAGGCATTGTTTCTGATAGCAACTCTCTGTGGGTCCGCCGACGTCACAGCGGATGGAAATCTGTATCCGCTCGTTGTACACCCGTTTTTAAAAGATTTGGGTACGGAGGAAAAGAGAGAAGGTTTTATTTTCTGACGCTGCGTGAGTTCCTCATATTTATGTATAAAACACATCACAAAGTGCATTTTGCATGATAGGTCCCCTTTAAGTTTCGTTGCCTTGCTCCTCTCTGGGGGGGGGGGAAGAGAGAGTGTCTTGGGGATGAAAGCTGGTTCGAGGGGCCCCCAGTGAATTTTTGCCTAGGGCCCCCACAGACTCTGGAATCGCCACTGATCTGATCCCAGCACACATCTAAAAAACATTATGATTCATAGTTATGTTGTCTTAAAAAAACAAACACTTTGGACCAAATGAGTCAGTGTCTGAGTGGGATTTGTGACATGGTTATTACTCATGGGACCATTTTAGGTTTGGGGGTTTACCAAAGAAAGAAAACAGGAACATTTACTTAAAACTTAAAAAGCTATGCAGAAGAATTTGTAAAAATAACACCTAGAAAAACACTCGTCGAAGTGTTAATTCATCTTTAAACTTAATTTTAAACAATTAAATAATAGATATTTTAAACACGTTTATGCTCCTTTTTGATCAGTTTTAAGTGTACATTCATATTAAAATGTTTTATTGTTCTTTTATGAATCACTGTTATTCTTTTAGTAATTAAGTCATAACATTTAACCTATTTTTTCTATGTTTTTGTATGTATTAAAGTTGTTTAATTTAATTTAATTTGTATTTTATTGATGATTTAATCACGTTTTTATTCATTTCTCATGCTGATTAACTTCTATTCCTGTTTATTATATCGTTTAATTATAAATATTTGTTTACTATTGCCTGCATTTTGTCTTAAATTGTTCATTTCATTTATTTTTCGTGTTGTTTTTGCCAATCTACAGTTCTTATTATCTGCTTAATAGTCAATTATGAAGCACTTTGAACGGCACTTACCTGTAGAAAGGGAGCTAAACAAACATTCATATTCATATTTATGTATTTCGTTAACAGCGTCACCACCACAGCTCCATATAAACCACGCTGGGCGACAAAATTAATCAAAATTCTGCCTATTTTTAACATGTAAATACATATTACATTACATGTCAATTGTTAGACGCTTTTATCCAAAGCGACTAACATACATTCAGTTCTGTGGACAATCCCCACAGGAGCAATTTGAGGTGAAGTGTCTTGCCCAGGGACACAACGACAAGCTGACTGCAGTGGGGTTTGAACTTGCTATCCCCTGATTCGAAGTCCAGCACACTCTCCACTGAGCCACAGTCTCCACATATAAATTGCATGTCAGCCCTTACCTGGTCAGGTGTTTGCAGCAGATTATCTCCCTTTCTGACGGTGTGTCTTTCCCTGGACATGATGATGATGATGATGAGGATATTTAACAACCTGCCTGATGTGTGTGTGTGTGTGTGTGTGTGATATATCCTTGTGATATAAGGAAGCAGTGTGCTCTATCACACAGCGACAGGAAGTCATCACTTCCTGTAGAAGGTGGTAACATCAGTAACTGTGACTTATGACTATTTCTTCATCTGGTGCATAAAGTGTCTTAATGCAAAAATAAAAGACATTTAATCTCATTCCTGGCTCTGTGGTTTTAATCACAATTAATGCTGTTATTATGTAGTGTTTGCAGTCATACAATGGACCCCCCTCCCACCTGATGAATGAGGTAATGAAACAGCAGTAACATGACACAGCAGTCCTTATGTGGTCTGTGAACATTGTGTGTTCCTCATAGAGAATAATTAAAAAGGGTATTTACTCTATTATAGGTCTGCAAACAGTCCGGTGTGTGTACAGCAGACGTGGACATCTTTCAAAAGGTGAATATGGTAAACATTTAAACAAACAGATATCATTCTGAAACTTCACAAGATGATTACTGACATTAAGACAATTATCTTTTGTATTACAAGTTTTCTGAAATGCTATGTTTACATATGCAAATGAGGCTTTATGTTATTAAACAGGGGCTAATTTGCCTACATTTCTCGCACAGAAATGTGACTATTGCACAAAGCCATGTTTAAAATTCTTGTTTAATGTTGTTGACTTATGAGAGTCAATGGTTTACACAGAGGGGATTTTGAATATCTCCTTGTGTCAACACATAAATTAGAAAAACTGCATTTCTCTCTGTTACATACAGTAGTGATGTCATTACATTACATGTTACTTGTTAGATGCTTTTCCCCACAGGAGCAATTTGGGGTGAAGTGTCTCAGGGACACAATGACATGCTGACTGCAGTGGGGTTTGAACCTGTGCTCCTCTGATCCCAACACCAACGCACTAGGCCACTGCGCCACACGCCTCCCACATGACCTCCTGGAAGTAAACAAAGGAGTCCAATGCAGGCGTTTCAGTTACATAGTATAAGGGGAGAGTTACTACCTTTATCCCAGCTACATTGTATAATGACACACGACATGTTGTACATTTCAAAATGTGATTTGCACAAAGGAAGGTCAGCTGTGTCTTCACTGTTTGCCCACAGCCTGGTTTTGCTTCTCGTTGCAGCTTTCACAAACAGGAGGTGCTTTTGCAACCCGACCGCTGTCTGATTCTGAGAAGAGAGGCTGCTTACTGTAAATGGTTAACGCTGGATACTCACTGTGAAGTGTGGAGAAGGACATAAGTATAAATTAATGCATGAAGAAAATTCATCGATAAATAAGGAAATAAATACATGTTGGTAAACAAAAATGAAAAATACATCCATACAATATTTATTTATGATTTGTTTTATTCTCAAGTTTTTTAAATGTATTTAAGCGTCTAATTATTTATTTATCATTTTTATTTATTTCTGGCTTTATTTATAAAAGTACATATATAACAAAAATGTAGAAACATATCAGATAAATGTGTTTGTATACATTTAAACTTTTGTTTCCTTATTTATTACAGCAAATATGTATTTATTATTCATGATTTATTTATCTATTTATTTATCTATTTATTTACATATTTATCCATTTATTTCTGTATATATTTATTTATGCATTTTGTTTTTATGATTCTTTAGTCATTTTCTGCCCTATTCTGTTTGCTGTCAACATTAATTTGAGCCTAATTCAGGCTTCTAATTGAATTGAAATGTCATATTATAACTGTACTCATAATTTACTTTAAAGAAAATACATATATATAATTTATGCATGATCCCTGTGTGATTTAAAGTGAATTAAAGTATAGAAAATACTCATTATATGGCTATGGCTTCTGTTTGGTTTGACCTAATAAATAGTTAAAAGTCTACTATATTAAATAGTCATTAACATGTTAAATATTCTCACGTGTTACCTTGTCATTAACAGTTTAATTTAAATCAAATGTAACACATAATAATGTATTTTCTATGTGATTTAATTAAAAAAAACACGTATCATCTTTAACGACGTATGACTGTGCGTCTGACGTCACGTAGTTGGCGTTTCTTACGTGTACCGGAAGAGCAGGTGCAACACCGAAAATCATCCGAGCATCTCTTTGACAACAAGAACCGCGACATCAGAAACCGACCCAGGATCCGCAGAGAGGCCCGTAGAAGACCTGGAAGAGGATCACCTTTATCTGCTGTATCTCCTCTGAGAGTCCGGACCATCATGACTCTGAACCAGAACCACTCCGAGTCCGGAGGAGGAGTCATCATCAACAACAGCGAGAGGTTAGCACACAGTTAGCATCAGCAGCTAACTAGTAAACAACCGTTAACAACCGTTAGAATGTCCGCAGATAAACTAACATGACAGTTCAGGTGCTGTCGTTAATTCATCCTGTCTATAATACATTTAAATATCTTCTAAGCATCTGTTAGCTTATTTGATCTGATTGAATTCTTAATTTATTAATCTCATACTTTCCTTTCTTTAATCTAAGTTATAATTGTATCTTAATATATTTAATTTTATTAATTTATTTTGTACTACTTATCTACATTTATTTAATTTTTTTAATTTAATGTTATTTATTTTATATTGTATTATATTTGTACATGTTTTTTAATCACTTATCTAATTGGATTTAAGTTGTAAAATGCCACCTTATTTTATTATTTTAGTTAAGTAAAGAATCTGAATAACTTGTCCACCACTGCAGTCAACTGTCACCTGAACACATACATGTTAACATTATATTAAAGGTCCCCTGTTATACTGTTTTTCATCAATATATCCCAGGTCTCAGATATATACAGAGCCTGTCTCTGATTGGCTGAAACACCAAACAGATCATTGCAGCATTACCCATAATCCCCTCTGTTTCAGCCCTGTTTCCAAAGTGCTGATTCTCTGCCTGTTACTTTAGATGAAAATAAGGAGCCCCTCCCCACGCCCCTCTGAGAGAGATTTGGTTACAAAGAACTCAATGGTGCTCTAGGAGGAGATTCAGGTGATAAGGTGGGGGGGGGGGGGTTACCTTGGTTGCTGATTGGCTAATGGTTACTCAAGCCAAAACATCATTATGACATCACAAAGTGGCCAAAATCTGATCAGCTCATTTTCAGACAGGTTTTTATAGAAATGGATCAGGACAAAAAGAGAGAGAATCTTTGTTCCTGAAACTTTCAGAGTCTCTTTCCACAGAGGGGACACATGTTGATGTAGAAGGGACATGAAGAAGAGGGGACACATGTTGATGTAGAAGAGACATGAAGAAGAGGGGACACATGTTGATGTAGAAGAGACATGAAGAAGAGGGGACACATGTTGATGTAGAAGAGACATGAAGAAGAGGGGACACATGTTGATGTAGAAGAGACATGAAGAAGAGGGACACATGTTGATGTAAGAAGGACATGAAGAAGAGGGGACACATGTTGATGAAGAAGAGAACTGAAGAAGAGGGGGACACATGTTGATGAAGAAGAGACATGAAGAAGAGGGGACACATGTTGATGTAGAAGAGACATGAAGAAGAGGGGACACATGTTGATGTAGAAGAGACATGAAGAAGAGGGGACACATGTTGATGCTAGAAGAGACATGAAGAAGAGGGGACACATGTTTGATGAAGAAGAGACATGAAGAAGAGGGGACACATGTTTGATGAAGAAGAGACATGAAGAAGAGGGGACACATGTTGATGTAAGAAGAGACATGAAGAAGAGGGGACACATGTTGATGTAGAAGAGACATGAAGAAAGAGGGGACACTGTTGATGTAGAAGAGACATGAAGAAGAGGGGACACATGTTGATGAGAAGAGACATGAAGAAGAGGGGGACACATGTTGATGTAGAAGAGGACAATGAAGAAGAGGGGACACACGTTGATGTAAGAATAAGACATAAAGCAGAGGGGACACATGTTTGATGTAGACAGAGGCCATGAAGAAGAGGGGACACAGTTGATTGTAGACGAAGACATGAAAGAAGAGGGTTAACACATGTTGATGTAGACAGAGAATGAAGAAGAAGGGCACATGTTGATGAAGAAGAGACATGAAGAAGAGGGGACACATGTTGATGTAGAAGAGACATGAAGAAGAGGGGACACAATGTTGATGTAGAAGAGACATGAAGAAGAGGGGACACATGTTGATGTAGAAGAGACATGAAGAAAGGGGACACATGTTGATGTAGAAGAGACATGAAGAAGAGGGGACACATGTTGATGTAGAAGAGACATGAAGAAGAGGGGACACATGTTGATGTAGAAGAGACATGAAGAAGAGGGGACACATGTTGATGTAGAAGAGACATGAAGAAGAGGGGACACATGTTGATGTAGAAGAGCATGAAGAAGAGGGACACATGTGATGTAGAAGAGACATGAAGAAAGGGGACACATGGTTGATGTAAGAAGAGACATGAAGAAGAGGGGACACATGTTGATGTAGAAGAGACATGAAGAAGAGGGGACACATGTTGATGTAGAAGAGACATGAAGAAGAGGGGACACATGTTGATGTAGAAGAGACATGAAGAAGAGGGGACACATGTTGATGTAGAAGAGACATGAAGAAGAGGGGGACACATGTTGATGTAGAAGAGACATGAAGAAGAGGGGACACATGTTGATGTAGAAGAGGACATGAAGAGAGGGGACACATGTTGATGTAGAAGAGACATGAAGAAAGGAGGGACACATGTTGATGTAGAAGAGACATGAAGAAAGAGGGGACACATGTTGATGAGAAGAGAGACATGAAGAAGAGGGGACACATGTTGAGTAGAAGAGACATGAAGAAGAGGGGACACATGTTGATGTAGAAGAGACATGAAGAAGAGGGGACACATGTTGATGTAGAAGAGACATGAAGAAGAGGGGGACACATGTTTGATGAAAGACAGAGACTATGAAGAATAGAGGGGACACATGTTGATGTAGAAGAGACATGAAGAAGAGGGGACACATGTGATGTAGAAAGGACATGAAGAAGAGGGGACACATGGTGATGTAGAAGATACATGAAGATAGGAGGGGACACATGTTGATGTAGAAGAGACATGAAGAAGAGGGGACACATGTTGATGTAGAAGAGACATGAAGAAGAGGGGACACATGGTGATGTAGAAGAGACATGGAAAAAAAAGGATTTTGCATAATAGGTGACCTTTAAAGGTTATTTAGTTGTATTCTAACTAGTCTATCATGTATGACAGTGTCTTGTTACTGCCCTTCTCCCTGTGTTTATCCCCCATGTTTTCCTATCAATCCCTTGTTTAGTCTGCGTTACCAACCGGGTCAGATCCTTCTAGAACCTTCTAGAACCTTCTGGATCTTTCGATAAACCATCACAGCTAAACTCAGCGAATCCTTTTTCTGCAGTATTTACTGAAAGAGAGCGGCTATGTTTAGAGACGGGACAGTTGGACTAGAAACCAGTCTTTCTTTAAAGGGGACCTATCATGCAAAATGCCCTTTTTGATGTCTTTTATACATAAATGTGTCCCTGGTATTGGGAACTCACGCAGCGTCAGAAAATAAAACCCTTTCCCTTTTCCTCCGTACCAAGCCCCCAGGAAGTGCGCCGGACTCTGAGGAAAATATTCGTTGTGGCCAAACGGTGGTACTACACTTCCGTATCAGTCGCTGGGCCCGCAAATACTTTTCCCATTGACTAACATTGGGAAAGAGACGTCTGTAAATCGTTGGATAATCTTTTTTTAAACTAAATAAACTACCCAGTATGAACATTTGTATAGCCCTTATTAAAAACATTCAGTCCTCAAGTTGTAAAAATGTGCTAATAACGTTATTCTGAGAGTTATTTTCCTCTGCATTATGAACGCGCATCTAACCCACGGGACTGCGCCGCCCGGCACGTTCATGTGACGTGTTCAGTTCTACATGAGTTTTACCTTTACCCATGGATGCACAATAAGAACGGATTATATGATTATATGAATACTTTCGTGACGTTTCGCTCTCTCAAAAGTTGGGCCATTTTGTCCTCATGCGCCAATGAGCATCTCTCATAGGAAGGAACGAGGCCCCGCCTCCCACGCTGTATCCAGTTCTTATTAAACATCCATGCTCCGTACCCACATCTGTTAAAAACGGGGGTACAACGAGCGGATACAGATTCGCTGCCGATATGACGTCAAATTGGCGGCGGACCCACAGAAAGTTGCTATCAGAAACAATGCCTGACGTGTTTTGGATGTAATCTCGTCTGTGTTTACATTAGCAAGCCTCGCTAACACTCAGAGCTAACCTGTACTGGAGAACACATGTGTTTAAAAAGCAGGAAATAAAAAAAGGAACTCACCTTGTGATAAACCTGAGAGAGAAAAAGCATTTGAGCGCCATACTGTTTCAGAAATAATCCTTGATGTGGTTTAGAACAGGATGGCGTTTTATCACAGCAGAATTTAACTTTATCTCCGGTAGAATTCTGATCAGGCATTAGCTCCGCCTCCTCTTTTTTTTTTTCTCAAGCTAAGGACCCAAGATCAGCGTTTCTCTAACAGCTGGAATAGAGGGATATGAGGGATTTCTAAAATGCATGATCTGTTTGTATTTTGAGCAAAACACATAATAGACAAGTTTTTATATATTTGTACAGACAGACACACAGACAGACAGACAGACAGACAGACACACAGACAGACACACAGACAGACACACAGACAGACAGACAGAGAGACAGACAGAGAGACAGAGAGACAGACAGAGAGACAGACAGACAGACAGACAGACACACAGACACACAGACACACAGACAGACAGACAGACAGAGAGACAGACACACAGACACACAGACAGACAGACAGACAGAGAGACAGAGAGACAGACAGACACACAGACAGACAGACAGAGAGACAGACACACAGACACACAGACAGACAGACAGACAGAGAGACAGACAGACAGACACACAGACAGACAGAGAGACAGACACACAGACACACAGACAGAGAGACAGAGAGACAGACAGACACACAGACACACAGACAGACAGAGAGACAGAGAGACAGACACACAGACACACAGACGGAGAGACAGAGAGACAGAGAGACACACAGACAGACAGACAGACAGACAGAGAGACAGACACACAGACACACAGACAGAGAGACAGAGAGACAGAGAGACAGACAGACACACAGACACACAGACACACAGACAGACAGAGAGACAGAGAGACAGAGAGACAGACAGACAGAGAGACAGAGAGACAGAGAGACAGAGAGACAGAGAGACAGACAGACACACAGACACACAGACACACAGACACACAGACAGACAGACAGACAGACAGACAGTTTATTTATCCCAAATTGGGAAAGTATTTTGTCACAGCAGCAGTTTTGTCAAGCATTACACACAAGTAAAACATATTTGAAAGATACAATAATATACAAATATAGTAAAAATAACATTAGCAGCAAGTATAAACAAATTCACAATAGAAGGACATAGAGGTTCTAAATAATACACAATATAAAGAAAATACTGAATAAATTAAATTCTCTACAATACGCAGTCTCACTTTAATCATGACGTTATTATATCTCTGATCCACTGACTGTGTTTCTGTCCTCAGCGTTTTGATGAACTACGATAACGTGGAGCTGGTTTTCTGCGACGCCGAACGCCTGCCCGAAGCTTTCAGGAAGAGCAAGAAGGGAGGCATCTACCTCACTCCCTACCGGGTGAGAGACAGCTCTTTATTACTCATTAAAACACAGCGTCTTCTGAGTGCACGCCAGAGATGTCAAAAGTACACATCCTTTCCTCAAGTAGAAGTACAGATACTCGTGTTTAAAAATACTCTGGTGAAAGTAGAAGTACTGACTAAACTTCTTTACTCAAGTCAAAGTAAAGAGGGCTTTGAAATGTACTTCAGTAAAAAGTACCCATAACTAGCAGCTGTTTTAAAGAGTACCTGACCTCCCTTTATATTAATAGAACAATAATGTCATTGTTAGCTAATGAATGTTTCCATGCTGAACAACGGCAACATGACAACGTTTTCATTGGTCCCTCTTCTTTAGAGAAGACCAGGAAATGATGGATACACGGATCGTGTTCAAATCAATAGGCACGCAATGACTCTAAATAATAATGATCACGCCACCAAACACACATTCAAACTAAAGGAACCAGCCTGTTTGGAAAATGTGAGAAGTAGAAAGTACAGGTATTTGAGTTCAACATGTAAGAAGTAGAGAGTACAGGTATTTGTGTTCAACATGTAAGAAGTAGAAAGTACAGGTATTTGGGTTCAACATGTAAGAAGTAGAAAGTACAGGTATTTGTGTTCAAAATGTAAGAAGTAGAAAGTACAGGTATTTGTGTTCAAAATGTAAGAAGTAGAAAGTACAGGTATTTGTGTTCAACATGTAAGAAGTAGAAAGTACAGGTATTTGGGTTCAAAATGTAAGAAGTAGAAAGTACAGGTATTTGTGTTCAACATGTAAGAAGTAGAAAGTACAGGTATTTGGGTTCAAAATGTAAGAAGTAGAAAGTACAGGTATTTGTGTTCAACATGTGAGAAGTAGAAAGTACAGGTATTTGGGTTCAACATGTAAGAAGTAGAAAGTACAGGTATTTGTGTTCAACATGTAAGAAGTAGAAAGTACAGGTATTTGTGTTCAACATGTAAGAAGTAGAAAGTACAGGTATTTGTGTTCAACATGTAAGAAGTCAAAGTAAAAAGTCGTCAGAAAAATAAGTAGTGGAGTAAAGTACTGGTACCAGAAACATGTACTTAAGTACAGTAACAAAGTATTTGTACTCCACTAATTCCCACCTCTGGTGCACGGACACTCCATCCTGCAGGAGATAAATAATAATAATAACAAAGCTTTATTTATTTAACACTTTTCATACAACACGTGCAGCTCAAAGTGCTTTACAAAATGGCAACACATCACAGGTTAAAAATACACAACAAGAAATTCCCCTCAGATTATTTGTTAAGAACTTTAAAAAGTCCATGCAGCAAAATATAACATTTTAACAGGTTAAGAGACACAAGGAGGTAAAAGGTATGATAATAAAAATAAAAATACAATCAAATAAATAATGATTTATCTCGGAAAGATAAGACACAAAAAAAGTGAATTGATGAAACCCTATAAAATATATTTCAATCAGGAGAGACGGTGTTGATAAGAATACATATTTATAGAGTGGCGAAGTCCCTCCCACTTACTTCCGGGTAATGGGACCTTATTCCGGAAAAGTTATGTATTGAAGTCAATGGGGAGAGAAAACTTATCTTTCGATCCCGTTTGAATTGTGCCATGAATTACACATATGATGTTTGTCAAACTTAAAAAATCATTTCCATGTCAAAAAAGTCACAGTTTGTCGTAAAACTGTTGAAATATAAGACTATGAAAAATACGTAACTAGAAAGACTACAAATCCCAGAGTCGCGTAAGTGATGTCACAATTGTTTACCTCCACCATTCAGATACCTAAGATCAGCGCAATATAGATATAATCTATCTATATGGCGCTGGCTAAGATAAGATAACTTTAACAAGATGCCTGTGTGCTTAGTACCAGGTTGTTATTATACCAGCAATGGGTCTTGCTCGTTCTTTTGCTTCCCGTCTGATGAAACGACCAGGAGTGGCTGGATCAAGCTAGCTACCTAGCTAGTAGCTAGCACGTTAGTTAGCATTACAGCCTTGTCATTTTTATTAGCCTTAACATGAAGTAACATTAAGTAACCCGAAATGTTAAACAGTAAAAGTAGTAGTCATATTTCGTGAACCCTTTGAATAGTACTGTCACCGGTGTGATCATTCTATAATACACCATTTAATTCCCGGGGGAGAAATGCTAACGCTAACGTTAGCATCGGCGATCTTTTCTACTTCATGCTATCTGCACAAATGGTTGACATTAAACATTAAAACGACCAGGCAGTTCAGAGAGAATCAAAGGAAGGCAGGCTTTGCATGACATTCTTCAGGACGTGTTTCATTGTGGTGATAGTCAATCGTTTGTTGACAAGACAGTAGTGACGGCCATCTTGGTGACGTGTGTGGTTGACCAGAGATGTAGTTCATAGATAGATAGATAGATAGATAGATCGTACTTTATTGATCCCAAATTGGGAAATTGTTTTTGTTACAGCAGCATAAAAGGCATTTTACAATAAAACAAAATATACAAGAATAGAAATAAAATAAAATAAAATATAAAATAAAATATAAAATATACATGTCAAAATACAAAATAGAAAATATACATACAGATATTATATATATATATATATATATATATATATATATATATACAAATATACAAATATATATATATTCAAAATATATGGAATTATGGAGTTCATTGAGCCTTTCACACAAACAAATGTGTTACTTCACAGTTTTACTTTCACAGTTTTACGACACATTTTAATTTTTTTGACTTGCAAAATTATCTTTTAAATTGACAAACATCATATGTGTAATTCGTGGCACAATTCAAACGGGATCGAAAGATAATCTTTCTCTCTCCATTGACTTCAATGCATAACTTTTCCGAAATAAGGTCCCATGGGGGTCAACCGGAAGGGGAGGGACTTCGCCACTCTATTGCCAGGAATACACAAATGAATGTAATGGAGTTTTGGCGATCAGGCCCCGTTGTTCAGGAGTATCATTCGGGAGGGGAGAACCGAACCGATGAAACCCCCCGGGGTCTAGACACTGGTGGTGGTGAATGGATGGTTGGGTTTGGTCTGAAGCGGAGGGGCTTAGCGTGACCCTGGTGGTGGTGAATGGATAGTAGGGGTCGGTCTGAAGGGGAGGGGCTTAGCTTGACCCTGGTGGTGGTGAATGGATAGTTGGGGTTGGTCTGAAGGGGAGTGGCTTAGCTTGACCCTGGTGGTGGTGAATGGATAGTTGGGTTCGGTTTGAATGGGAGGGGCTTAGCTTGACCCTGGTGGTGGTGAATGGATAGTTGGGTTCGGTCTGAAGGGGAGTGGCTTAGCTTGACCCTGGTGGTGGTGAATGGATAGTTGGGGTCGGTCTGAAGGGGAGTGGCTTAGCTTGACCCTGGTGGTGGTGAATGGATAGTTGGGGTCGGTCTGAAGGGGAGGGGCTTAGCTTGACCCTGGTGGTGGTGAATGGATAGTTGGGGTCGGTCTGAAGGGGAGGGGCTTAGCTTGACCCTGGTGGTGGTGAATGGATAGTTGGGGTCGGTCTGAAGGGGAGGGGCTTAGCTTGACCATGGTGGTGGTGAATGGATAGTTGGGGTCGGTCTGAAGGGGAGTGGCTTAGCTTGACCCTGGTGGTGGTGAATGGATAGTTGGGTTCGGTCTGAAGGGGAGGGGCTTAGCTTGACCCTGGTGGTGGTGAATGGATAGTAGGGGGCGGTCTGAAGGGGAGGGGCTTAGCTTGACCCTGGATTCAGAGGGACAGGAGGTGAAAAGGGGGTGGAGGAGGGTTGCGTCGAGTCACCTGGAATGACAGCTGTCAGGGGGGAGAGCAGATTTAAAAAGGTTTAGCGGAGTGCTTTGATAGGCTTGTGAGAATAGAGCGAAGTGATTGGTTAAGCTGGGGATCACTTATTGAGAGGAGAGAGAGTAGTAACATGGAAATAGTAAATGAATGAGTAAAGACTGTCTTCCTGGTTGAACTTGCGCTGAGCTTCATTAGTACTCTGTATTTTCTCCTGTTATTGTGTTATGTGTGGAAAAAAACAATAAATAAAGTTTTACCAATAAACAAAATGTCCACTAAATGAGGGTATATTGAGATTTTCAATGTGAGTGCTGTTGCTGTTTCAGGTGATCTTCGTGGCGAAAAGCCGTGATTTGCTGCAGTCCTTCATGATGCCCTTCTACCTCATAAAGGGCTGCGAGGTCAAACAGCCGGTGCTCGGAGCCAATTACATCAAAGGAACCGTCAACGCTGAGCCTGGAGGTGAGACGAGGGTTAGGGCTGAATTATAGAGGAGAACAATTATATTGAAGGGTTAAAACGTCAAACAAATCACACAACGAATCTCCTCTGGCTGGAAGAGAACTCTCTGCTTCTCCCATTTATATTCAATATAATATTTAATATTCCATTCCTTACAAACTTAATGTATTTATAATATCCTGCTTTATATTTTATCGCTGTACATTTGTAATTCAACATGTACATTTTCTACTTTTTTAATGCTATTTTATTTCTATTAAGATGTTTACTTTTAGAAAAATATCCCTGGTCCCCGGCTTGAGCTTCAATCTCAGGATCCATGTATTTGTGATCCTCTCAAGAATGGAAGTAGTCAAAACAAGAAAAGAGATTTGTTGGTATTTTTCTCAAAATCTCAACATTCTGACTTTTTCTCAAAATTTCAAAAATTCTGACTTTTTCCTCAAAAAACTCAAAATTCGGACTTTTCCTTAAATGTTTTACTTTTCCTCAAATGTTTTACTTTTCCTCAAAAATATGACTTTTTCTCAAAAATCAGAATTTTCCTCAAAAATATGACTTTTTCTCAAAAATCAGATTTTTTCTCAAAATTCTGACTTCCTCAAAAAACTCAAAATTCTGACTTTTCCTCAAATGTTTTACTTTTCCTCAAATGTTTTACTTTTCCTCAAAAATCAGAATTTTTCTCAAAAATATGACTTTTTCTCAAAATTCTGACTTTTTCTTAAAATCTCAAAAATCTGACTTTCTGAATACTATTTTTTTTTTAATAATCCCTGGTCCCCGGCTTGAGCTTCAATCTCAGGATCCATGTATTTGTGATCCTCTCCAGAATGGAAGTAGTCATCACATACAGAGCATCAACTAGTTCCTGAACAGTGTCCTTCACATGCTGATATCCAAGAGAGGGAGTTACACAGTCACAAGATGGAGGAATACCGGTTCTTCTAAGTAATCATACATCCTGTCATGTTCACAGCTACAGTTGGGATACCTTTGTTATCATGTTACTCTCATGTTGGAAGAGGACATTCAGTATTTTCCCAACATTATCTTATCTTAAAGCATGGTCAATATCTGATGCATCCCAGAGTGTCTGCACACTACAGGTGTGTGTTGCTCTCAGTATCTGAGTGTGTGTGTGTGTGTGTGTGTGTTGCAGGAGGCTGGGAGGGCAGCGCCTCTTTCAAACTGGTGTTTGCAGCAGGAGGAGCCATCGAGTTCGGACAGTCCATGCTGCAGGTCGCTGCTCAGGGTACGGGAACACAACTATCCAGCCTCTACCTGAAGGATGTGTTGTTGATTTGCACTAAAGAATATCCACATGTAGAGCAGGAGCACATACGTATAAACTGTATATATATATATATGTATCCCAACTCTCGTGTAAAGGCCTTAACACATGGTTCCCTTGGGTCCTTTAAATACTTGAAAGTTGGTGAACTTAAGGTAAATAAAACAAGGCCTTGAAAGATTTATGAACAGACATATTCCGACATTAAGACCAGGCTCAAAACCCGAGGGCACCGAGCCTTCGCAGCAGCTGGCCCGAGGCTCTGGAACACTCTGCCCCTCCATGTGAGGTCGGCCCAGGGGTTTTTAAATCTACGCACTCCTGACTTTTCCCTGTGTTTTAAAAAAAAAAAATCTGTTGTAATTTATTGTCTTTTATTGTGATTATAGAAATGTGTTTTTATGTGATTGTAGTTATTACATGTACAGCACTTTGGCCCGACCAAAGATCGCTTTTAAATGTGCTTTATAAATAAACCTTGATTTGATTTGATTTGATTTAAACAGCTTGAATTTATACATTTACTACAAGAATAGAAATGGCTTGTTTCTGTAAGTTCAATAAGAAAAACGTAATAAATACACATGTTCAGCAAGCACATGTCAACACTTGTTATATCGATAGTGTAATCTAGTTTCGATCACAGTGCGCTGGTTAGCCTTAATGCTAATTGCTCAAAAACAAACTAAATCAAATGTCGTCTGTATGTAGTTTATCATTACAATTTTCGACATGTTATGCTTTGACTATTTACAAATTGGTTATCATCTCTCAAACTATGCCGTGTTGGGGTCTTGAATCTGAGGGAAATGGGTCAGGAAGGACACTAAAAGGTCTTTGAATTGAATTTGAAGAGGAAGTGTGACCCTGAAACAGTCCTGAAGTTCTGTCCCCCCCCCCCTCTGCTCCCTTCAGCCTCCAGAGGTCAGCCGGTCTCCGCTGGGTTCGGCTGCCCCTACACGGCCAACGGAGCGTTCTCCTACCCTCCCCCTCCCCCGAATAATGGGGTGTATCCGGCTGGACCTCCGCCCGGATACACCTACCCCAACCCCCCCCCTCCAGGTAGGAGCTGCCTTCATCATCATCACACATTTCTGCACAACACTACGACTTGTTAAAAAATACTACTTTAAGTAAAACAAAATGACCACGATACGAATAAGTATTTTCTTTATTGAATCGTAGAAGTGCCATTTTGCTCATTTTCCAGTTGCATGAATCCTTGAAAGAAAAAATAGGAGCTAAAACCATAAAATGTTTTGCAATCTTTATTATTATTAATGGTTCTTTCATATTTTCTTATACATTTTATTTTATTTCAACATCTGAATGGCTCTTTCTGTGTTAATGTACGCGCCGTTATTCACCGAAGCAGATTCCTTGTGTGTTGAACTGATTCTGACTCCTGTATCTCTGTTTCTCTCCAGGTGGATTTTACCCGACCCCCCCGGCGTTTGATGCCAGCGCGGCGTATATCCCCCCCCCCTCCATACTCTGCTCCTCTGGGCCAGCAGCCCCCCCCCCACAACCCTGACCTGCCCTCCTCTGCAGCAGGTGAGCTATCATCTATCCATCCATCCATCCATCCATCGAGCTTGAAACACTTGTAACAAACAAATGAAGAAAAAACACAGAAAAAAATCTGATTTAAAATGTCTAACTTTAGGAAGCTTTTTGTAAATGGATTGCCTTTGAATGTAAAATAGTTTTTGTATCTGATGTTAAATTGAATTATATATTTAAATCCCTTGAGATGCACCTTTTAATTTAATAAACAACGGTGGTTCTTGACAACAATAATTTAATCCATGAGCATAATTATGATTTTAGGCTTGATTTATTGCACTCATTTCAGTCAGGATAATCTTGACGGTTAATTCTCACAGCATCCCATATCTAATGTGATTTATATCCCCCCCCCCCCCCCCCCCCCCTCTCTCTCTCTCTTCCAGCGGAGGCTAAAGCAGCCGAAGCAGCAGCGAGCGCCGGCTGCTCTCAGCTGCCTCCGACCCACGTCTACCTGCCGCAGGTCAGCCTGATAACACGCTAGGACTGTTTTCCAATGTTCGCGATGCGATACTATCAATTTGTTCAACATGTTATAATATAACTTTTTGATCCTATTTTTCGACATGCTATAATAGGACTTTTTTTGAAAACGTTCGACATGTCTTACTATGACTTATTTTCCGATTTTTGGATCTGTTATACGATGACTTCCCCCCAAGTTTTCGACTATGACTTTTTTTTATTACCCTTTTTCAATTTTTCAACATGTTATATTTAAGCAATTGCTATGCAACAACACTAACAGCTAGCGAACATATTAGACAGCGAGCGTTGATCCATTATTTGGCTATTTATCTACATTAATGTGTATGTTGCCGTTTATTGTGCAGCCACTGAAAACCTGTCCAGCATCAGTAGCATGGCTTACGTGGTTACTTGTATAGGCTGAGGTTGTTCTAGGCTGTTGCTTGGCGTGGCGAGAATATTGCTCCACTTTCTCCGGTCCCCGAGATTGGGCTTCCAGTAGCTCTGGAGAGAGCTTTCGCACCTGTGGCCACTAACGGTCATAATCTCTCTGCTTTGTTTCAAGACCCGCATCAGAAAGCTTTTCCAGTTGGTCTACTACCTGCTCTCCACGTAGCTCTGCATGTCGTCGTTTAGGTGCTCTCTGGAGATAGGCACTCCTCAATCCACTCCTCCATAGTGAGACCCCCCCGGAGGTCGAAGTTAACCTTACATGTTTCCATCTTGAGCTTTGTTAGTTAGTTAGTTTCGTAACGGACGTAATGTAACAGCTGTAACGGTTTCTCAGACGCGGAGGGATACTGACTTGTTGTGAAAAGTAACTACAATTCTACCCGTGATATACGCTCATTATATCACGGCTAAGAACCAATCAGATTGCTTGATTTGACTTGTCCGTTTTATAATATGACTTTTTTTTCAAATTTTTCAACATATGACTTTATGTCTATGACCTTTCCCCCAAACCTTTAGGAATGTTATACTATGACTTTTTTGGGACTTTCCCCCAATCATTCGACATGTTATACTTTGCCTTTTTCCGAATTGTTCAACATAATATACTATGACGTTATGTCCATATTTCTCAACATATATCACCATGATGTTCTTTTCAAACTCACCCTCTCTCCCTTCCTCTCTCCTCAGGACCAGCCTCCCCCCTACTCCCCTCCAGAGGACAAGAAGAACCAGTAACCTGCCCCCCCCCCCCCCTCCCCCCGATCACCTCCATCAGGAAGGCCTCGGTGTTTCTGTTTAACATCCTCTCACATTCCCATTAACCCTCCATACAGTGTGACTTCATGGAAATAGAAAACTTCGAGAGGTCAGGCGTAGTTTCTTTTCTGTCGACTACAATCTAGTAACCTGCTATATTTTAGCATTAATTATATTTACAGGTGTTCCCCAAAAAACACCCTAAAGTTGTCGTGACGCTCACCTGTAATCTCTACGACTGAAGACTACTTTGCTAATCCGAAAGCAGTGTTTTATTTTTCTATAATTTGTGTGTACAGGCTTTTAATATGTAGTCTAGAGATCTTTTCTAGAGAACACTACACCAACTAGCTTTTGTAAACATTGCGATTCGGAGGCACTGGATCCTGGATTAGAGCAGAGAGTGTGTTTGTATTTGAGTTTAATTATCTCCCCCTACCCTCGTTCCGATCTACTTCCTGTTTGTTTTTTGGTTTGCTGAGAACCCGATGGATTATGGCGCCCCGTGTGGATCAATTCGGATCAGCGATTCTTTAGAAAACTGTTGCCACTAAAACAGCCACTAAATAGCGCGTCTGTACATGGTGTTGAACATGTTGCACGTGACGGTACAGGTGCCCTGAGCGACCAAAAAGGACGTCTTCAGTGTCTGAACTTTGACTTTCTTCCAGAGCATTAATCAAATATTTAACAGGCTTTGTTTCTGAGGCTATACATTTGTAACGGCAGTGTTTGATTTGAAGCTCCTGCAGCGATCACTTCCTGTTTCTTCATCATCACGTCAACAAAGATTCAGACTATTTATAACATGGAAACATCCGGAGTGTTTTCTCCCCGTTTCTCTTTCTCTCTGTGGTCGTGATCCTCTTCCTCACGTATTATCTCTAAACTATCTGTGGCTGATTCTCTGCACTTTCTGATTGCTATGCATCGGGCCCGTTCGCTCCGTCATGGCTGTGTGTATTATAACAACAAATATAATAAATAATAACAAAGCTCTGTATTTATTTCAAACTAATTTATTGAACAATTCATGTAAAATGGCTCAAGAAACAAAAAGCATGATCTCGACTGATGACTGTATGCGTTGGATTTTATTAAATGGATCTTGATTCATGTGAAACACAATGTTGTCTTTCTTTGATTCCACTTTCAACACATCGTAGTGCACCGACTCACAACCACTACGATCTTTGTACAAATGTCCCCGATCAATCATTCAATCATTCTTGTGAAGAAAACCAAATGTTTTTTAAGCACCAGGGAGGAGAAAACACTGAATGCATCGTAAAAAATAAGCATATTAAGTATGTACAATCATTCAAAGAAAAGATGATACAGAGAATTGTATCATAAGTGCCTAGAAATAGTGGAAAACTAATTTTGTCATTTTCACATCAGAAAACCCATCAAAATTGCTAATTTGTTCATTTAAACACTTTTTATGCATTTTTATTATTATTATTATGCATTGAATAAAATAATATATCAATCAGTGATGGAAAAGAGCGACCACTGGTTAAGTGCATTTTCATATTAAACGTATTCCAGCTTCAGAAGAGGGGTAACGTTTCATGTGTTTTCAAATCAAACCCCGATAATGTGCTTTTCCCTTCTTAAAGTTCGGACGACTCGTGCAAATCCACAGCAGACTCCTCAAAGACAGACACACGGTTTAAAAAAACAGATACAAACATTTGTGCAGTACAGCAGATCCCATCATGATTAAAAAAAAAAAAAGGTGATTTTCAGGTCTGTGTTCTCAGTAGTAATGTTGCTTTCACTCCACAGGACGATAGATAGAAACATATTTATTATATTCACCATTTCCTGCCGTGAACGCAGCTTTTATGACCCGAATCACATGCTAACTGTGCATTGAGTCGAGCACGGACATTACAAATTAAAGGGGGAAATAAAGTCGTTTTTTCTACTTAAAAATGTTAATTTAAGTACAGTGTTCTTACAGCTAAAGGCAAGCTAGATTTAAGACTTTTAAACCAAAATGATGACCAATTTAACGCATTATTTCTGGTTGTGCGTGACATTGATGCGAGAGGCATTTGGTTCATTATAAAAAACAAGACTTATTAGCCGTCTTAATATGAATGAAGGCTTAAAGCCGGCATATGTGTTCATTCTACACAGCGACGTGACACTGAGAGACAGGGACGTGACTGGATGGCCTACCTGCCTGTCAGCCTTCCATCTGTGCACTAACTTATCTCGTGCCCTCATTGGTCATGTGGCACAGTAATAATTATTCATGTGGTGAGACATGATGGGAACAGGGGGAAGTTTTTAAAAACCAGTTCCTAAGCAATGATTACTGTGGTGTGGTTAGAAGTATTAAGAATAAACTGGAAAAGGTGGAGATTAAAACAGCCAGTTCTTCTGCTTAAAACCACGTATGAAGGGGTTTAAAAGGTGGTGGGGGTTCATGGTGAGCAGAGCGTGATGCTGACCCCTGATTAAATGTGTTTTTAAAAACCAGTCGCAAGACATAATGGGAACAGGGGGACTTTTTGTAGTTAAAACAGTCAGCTCTTCTGCTTAAAACCACGTGATGCTGGCCCCCTCCCCAAACCAGTCAGTTGTTCTGCTCGTAGGAAAGCGTATAAACCAAAAACAGGTGGACCTTTTGGAGTAAAAGCAGTCAGTTGTTCTGCTTAAAACCATGTAGGAAGTTTTTAAAAACCAGTTCCTAAGCAATGATTACTGTCGTGTTAGGAAGTAATAAGATAATCCAAAACCAGGTGGACATAATGGGAACAGGGGACTTTTTGGAGTAAAAACAGCCTGCTCTTCTGCTTAAAACCACGTATTGGGTGGTGGGTGTTCACGGTTGACAGAGCGTGATGCTGACCCCCTCCCCGATCCAGCATGCGGGGAACAGCTTCCCTCTGAAGGCGCAGTGGAAGGCGTGGAGGCGGACCTCTCCGTCCCCGAAGAAGCTGAGCGTCCCGGCCTCGTAGTCCAGCAGCATGCCGATGCGTCGGTGCTGCGAGGCGCCGGGCAGAGACTCTTTGCGGCCGGCGTGCCACGCGGAGATCTGATGCTCGTCCAGCTGGAGGCTCCACGAGAGGTCGTTCATTCCCACCATGCACCTCTTCCCCTTCTCCTTCCTGGGGATGGCCTCGTAGGTCACCTGAGGAGAGGAGGGGGGAGGAGGAGGAGGAGGAGAGAGAGGAAGTGTTAATTTTCCAGAAATATACGACATACTGTTAGAAAACTCTCACTCTCAAATACTATACTATTGTTAGACATAGTAAATGATACTATCTCTTGAATAAAAGAGTTGTTAAGCCCCAGGTAATACACACTATATAACATTATTATTCTTCTTACCCCCAGGTAGGCCCAGGGCTTGGACACCTCCAGCTCCCAGAAGTGCTGGCCTTGTGTGAACCCCTGGAAGCAGAGCACCTGCCAGGTGTGGTCGAAGCGGGCCGCGTCCGGAGTGACGGAGCGCGGCCCGGAGCTCAGGTGCTCCGCCCGCCGGTTCTCCTGAGAGAGACACAGGTGACCGTTGGCTGTTCGGGGGTCAAAGGTCAGCGAGCAGCGGTCTGCAGGAGGAGGAGATACATCACTTTAAACCAGGAACAGATATCACGTGTTTACAGTGTTTGTGAACGGCTGCAACATTTATTGACAAAAGAAAACTATGCTTTGTGATTTTTCAAAATTCACTTAGAAATGAGGATATTTAGATACTTTAGTGAAGTCTTTGTGCCGATAAATACTAGGCCACAATTGTATTTATTTAACATTTATTGACAAAAGAAAGATGTAAGATTAAGAAAAATAATACTATGAATTTATGACTTTTTTTAAGTGCTAAGATTTTTACATAATCTTTTACTACAAACTTTACTTTCTGATTTTTCTCTCCAATTACTATTCTGACTTTTACTTTGTTTTGAATTCATAATATACTATGATTTCTCTTTTAGATACTACATACTAGGACTATCTAATGACATACCAGACAATGACTTTTAAATGCATACTATCACATTTCACCCCAAAAACCTTATCGTGACCGAAGTATTGAATAATAAGAAAAAAGGGTGCATCAGAAAATCAATGTATTGTTTTATATTCAATCATCCACCGGTGCCAGGTGGACCTTTCTACGATGCAATGATAGAACGTCGGTTTAAAATGTCTTTTTAACGAATTAACATTTGATTAACTTTGGGAACAGAGCGGTAGGTAATGTGAGAGTTGGGTCAGAGGGAAACGCACTCCTCTGGTGTCAGAGCGCTCGTCCCTGAAAGAAGCTTTGGTCGAGGCCATTGGTCCTCTGTTACATGCATTGGGAGGTAGGGCTGTGCGATTATGGCAAAAATCATAATCACGATTATTTTGGTCAATAATTGATATCACGATTATTAAATACGATTATTCATTGACTTTGAAAACGTCAATTTATTGAACTTTAAAACAAATTAAAATAATAATTTGAACAGTATCTTTTTAACTGTTGATTACCCTGAACGTATAATTCAACTGAAAAACTAATAAATAAAATAAATGATACATTTAAATAAATAATATGAAAATAATAAATACCAATAAAAAAGATCAACAAATATTTTGGAGCGCACTTCAACAAGCTACTAAACATATATAAATATGATAAATAAATTAGACTATAAAATAAATTAGATCAAATATGTTGCAGTGTCACAACCTAGCAAAGCAAAATAATCGTTTTTTTCGATTATGTTGTTTTTGTAATTGCGGCAGGCCAAAATCGTAATTGCGATTAAAAAACGATTAATTGCACCGAGATTTGAATAGTTGACTCATGGATATTAACCCTAGTTTTCATTCAAACTAATAATCTGTTCCAGTCTCACAAAAAAAGTCATTTTCACTGATTAAAAAACAGTTTGATCTCCTGCTTGCTTCACACAAACGACAAGTTCAATTACTAAAGTGGATTGAATGAGAAGAGACTGACATAGATGTCGTTAATATACTGCGACAGACTGTTTCTGAATGAAGCTTCAATGTATAAACGTAATGTTTCCCTAAAACAGGGGTGTCAAACTCAAGGCCCGGGGGCCAAATCCGGCCCGCGACTTCATTTTATGTGGCCCCACAAGAGCTTGCAAAGAATATAATATGTTTATTATACGGTTACATGCTACTTTACAGAAGCACGTTGCCCATAAACGACATGTCCCACAATGCATCTCAAATTTGACTTTTTCTCAGAATTTGACTTTTTTTGTCCAAATATGCCTTTTTTCTTAGAATTAGCCTTTTTCTCATAAATAGATTTTTTTTTCAAAATGTCACTTCTCTTTTTCAAAATGTCACAATCAATGTTTTTCCAGAATGTGGCTTTTCTTTTAAAATCATATTGTGACATTCTTACTGAAGAGACTTGCAATTATTTGCTCTAGACTTCTGCTTTCAGACGTAGTTAATTATGAAGTTATATTAATTAATGATATAGTCTTAAAGTTACAACCGGCCCTTTGAGTGCAACCATAATGCTGATGTGGCCCGTGATGAAATTGAGTTCGACACCCCTGTACTAAAAGATGCTGTCTTTTGCCTGAACAAAGATGTCTACACTATTTATCACTGATAACATTCATAGCTCAACTTGAATGAACTCCTGTTTCTGTTTTGAAGCATCAGTGGAGTCCCCCTGCTTTTCATTGTGTGACAATAAGTAACCCTTGAGCACAACGTTGAGAGAGGACTCACATGCACTGAGTCCCTCTTTGCCCCCGGGGTGGCAGGGAGCGGCTGGACTGGGAACCACAGCGAGAACCGGCCTCTTGTCCAGCGGAGAACCTGAAGAACAACAATTGAGTCTATTAGCCAGCTCATAGAGTCAGTCTATTGTATCGAGACCCCAACGTTTTATGATAGAAATGTATCGTACGGTCTCCAGCACAGAGAACCTGCCGAATGCTAACCTGCATATGTCGGACAAGTTGTGTTAATTAGCTTATGCAGACAATAGTTACAAAATTACTTGGCTGTGATTTTGACAATTTGAGAGGATAATGAGTATGGTGAATCATTTTTAGGATCAAACATATCAGTTTTAACCAGATGTGTGCTCTCTGTGGGCAGATTTTGAAGAATTTTGGGTCGATTTACAAGTTTTAGGGGTCTCAAAACTGTCATATGTGGTCCCAATACTGTCAATGGCTTCAGCATTCTCAATAACCTCCAAAAGTGTCCACATTATTCCTGAAGGTACGTTACCGTCTTTATCCGGACCCACGGCGGTGCTCACAGCTTTCTCCAGATCCTCCGACACCAGTTTGGAGACTCGTGACAGAACGTCCGTGACGCCGTTCAGACGCTCCTGCAGGGTCGGAGTGACGTCTGTGGGGACGTCTTTGAAACGAGGAACCTCGATCACCGTAGACTCCTGTGGAGAAATGTTGGGGAAATCCTGAATGTCCTCTTCCAACATGAGAGTAACATGATAACAAAGGTATCCCAACTGTAGCTGTGAACATGACAGGATGTATGATTACCTAGAAGAGCATCAGGACTGTTTGAGGCATATGATAGCTATGTGATTAACATGATGATTCAGCCTCTATGGAGAGAGACATATGACAAGCATGCTCATTTCTGACGTGGAGCTAATCTGAAGTAAACATTGAATACTGCTTTCTATTCCTCCATCTTGTGACTGTGTAACTCCCTCTCTTGGATATCAGCATGTGAAGGACACTGTTCAGGAACTAGTTGATGCTCTGTATGTGATGACTACTTCCATTCTGGAGAGGATCACAAATACATGGATCCTGAGATTGAAGCTCAAGCCGGGGACCAGTGATTATTAACATTTTGAAGCATTCAGAAAAAGTCAGAATTTTGAGATTTTGAGTAAAAAGTCAGAATTTTGAGATTTTGAGTAAAAAGTCAGAATTTTGAGATTTTGAGTAAAAAGCCAGAATTTTGAGATTTTGAGAAAAAAGTCAGAATTTTGAGATTTTGATAAAAAGTCAGAATTTTGTGATTTTGATAAAAAGTCAGAATTTTGAGATTTTGAGTAAAAAGTCAGAATTTTGTGATTTTGAGAAAAAGTCAGAATTTTGAGATTTTGATAAAAAGTCAGAATTTTGAAAAAAAAAGGCAGAATTTTGAGGAAAAAAGTCAGAATTTTGAGAAAAAATACAGAATTTTGAGATTTTGAGAAAAAAGTCAGAATTTTGAGATTTTGAGAAAAAAGTCAGAATTTTGAGATTTTGAGAAAAAGTCAGAATTTTGAGAAATAGTCAAAAACCAACATTTTGAGAAAAAAGTATGTTGTTCATGACAGGATGTATGATTACTTAGAAGAACCGGTATTCCTCCATCTTGTGACTGTGTAACTCCCTCTCTTGTATATCAGCATGTGAAGGACACTGTTCAGGAACTAGTTGATGCTCTGTATGTGATGACTACTTCCATTCTGGAGAGGATCAGAAACACATGGATCCTGAGATTGAAGCTCAAGCCGGGGACCAGGGAGATTTTTCTAACAGGCACAAAGAAAAGTTGGAAAAGTGAAACCCACCTTGATGAGCTCGTTGTCGGGCAGCTTTCGTACGGCGCTGATCTTCTCCTGACTCTGGATCAGTTCTTTGCATCGCTCCGTCAGCTCAGAGAGCCGAGCCTCCGCCTCGCTGACCGCTTCCTGTCGCTGCTCCTCGATGAAGCGATGAGTCACTTCCTGCTTCTCCATCAGGATTTTAATCAGAGAGGAGAACTTGGCGTTGACCCAGGAGGACGTCTGATCCAGAGTCACCTGGGGGGGGGGTTCACAACACACCGTTAGTGGTTTAAGGGGAAGAATTATCTACATTAATATCAACTTTCTTTGACCGATTAGACATTAAAAGGACTCCAATTAATTCAACGTTTGTTTTTCAAGAAATGAAGGTAAATATTGTAGATACATATTGATTTTGGTGCTTTGAGATATTTAGTTATTTCCCCATCGGCACCAAGAAATGAAATATCTATTTTCTGACTGTGGGATTTGAATACATTTCCGAGTGAAAACATATTCGTCTTTTGTATTTAGGGTCTCGTAACTATGTTGACATCCATGTGACGTCCCTGTAGCATACATATTCGGATGCATTAGCTTGTTATGAAAAGAACATGTATATTACTTGATTCTGCAGCACAGGGTTCATGTTTCAAAATCATCTGAACTAAAAAAAGCCCAGATGAGCCAAACGTGAAAAAAGGGCTTTGACCTCAGAGAGTTCAAATCAACTTTCAGCTTTGCAATGTAAAGAAATGAAGGTACAGTGGGGGAGTAAAGCACACTTGCTTTAAAGGGGCCCTATTAGTGATGTGACGTTCGCGAACGATCCGATGCTCTTTGGTACGAACTAAGGGAACCGAGTCGTACTTGGTGAGAGCCGTTCTTTTTATCGTTGGTTCACTGCCTGCCTGAATCCTAGGGCTGTGCAATTAATCGTATTTTAATCGCAATTACGATTTTGGCCTGCCACAATTACGAAAACAACATAATCGAAAAAAACTATTATTTAGCTTTGCTTGGTTGTGACAGTGCAACATATTTGATCTAATTTATTTTGGTCTAATCTATTTGTATTTATCATATTTATATATGTTTAGTAGCTTGTGGAAGTGCGCTCCAAAATATTTGTTGATCTTGTTTATTGGTATTTATTATTTTGATATTATTTATTTAAATGTATCATTTATTTTATTTATTTTTGTATTGGTTTTGCAGTTGAATTATACGTTCAGGGAAATCAACAGTTACAAAGATACTGTTCAAATTATTATTTGTATTTAAAAGTTCAATAAATGGATGTTTTCAAAGTCAATGAATAATCGTGATATCAATTATTGACCCAAATAATCGTGATTATGATTTTTGCCATAATCGCACAGCCCTAATAAATCCACTCGCCTTTACGGGAACTTGCTTTTCTGAATGCACATTAGCCGTAGATGATGGCATAACGCACGCTGCTTGAGTAGTAGTTTGGCTGAGAGATGTAAGTTATACATTTTCTGTGAGTAAAAGTAGATTTCTAGCAATACAGTCAATCATTATCCTGGTGATTATTTTGCAGATAAACCTAGTAACCCCCGCCCCCTTCAAAAAAACCTGGCTCTTTTGAACGGCTCTCGGAAAGGAACGGAGCCATAAGATCTGGCTCACTTCAAAGAGCCGTAATTCCCATCACTAGGCCCTATCACACTCATTTTCAGGTTCATACTTGTATATAGAAGCAGGAATGTTACATGGTGATGTCACTATGTTTACCTTAGCGTTACTGATATTATCCGACAGGTCACTGATATTTTTCTGCGTCTCCTCTGTGAGCTTTTCCACCTCCTTACTCTTCCTCTCCAGCAGCATCTGTGTAGAGCAAAGTAATTAGGACACAACGTCACAATCATTTATCCAGGTTAACTAATACACAACTTTATCCTGTTTTAAATGGTCTTCTCTGGGCTTTTTAATTCCTGAACTGTGATATTATAATGTGTTTATCTTGCCTTTAACACATGTCCGAATGCACTCTGAATTGTCTTGTTGGACCCATTGGACCAGAGGGATGCTGCCTTCAGGGTCCAACACAGAAATATGTCATCCCTGAACCAGTATATTCTTGTTTCCTTTCCCTTAAAAACTAATATCACAGTCACTTTGACCTTGTGAATAGGTTGCTAATGTATACCCCTGTAATTATGTTGTGATGTCCTTTTGTTTTCTGTTGTTTTTATGTGTAACTAATGTACCGCAGGTCTCCCTTGAAAAAGAGATCGTTGATCTCAATGGGATTTTTTAACCTGGTTAAATAAAGGCTACAAACAAACAAACAAACTTTATTGCAAAGCTTTTCCTTTGTTATGTACTGCAATATGTTAACACTCAATTTCACTAAACACTACAAAATCTTGCCAAGTATATTTGTCTAATATCTAGTCAGAATATTTCTTTACACTCGATAACACCTAATAACTTAAAGGGGACCTATCATGCAAAATGCACTTTTGTACGTCTTTTATACATGAATATGTGTCCCCGGTGTTCCAGGGAACTCACCAAGTGTCAGAAAACACAACCCTCTCTATTTTCCTCCATACCCAAATCTCTAAAAAAGGGGCTGCAACGGATCTGATAAAAACTGATCCAGATTTGAACACTGTCCTGACGTCAGGACGGTGGCGCTACGGCTATTGGGCCAACTTCACCAATCAGGAGGAGACAGCCACGGCCATTGCCGTTCGAAAGCGCTGGAGACGCTGTAGTACATATGCCAGGCCTGTAGGTGGCGCTGTTCTCACTGAATCAGCCCTTGCTAAAACAGAGCTATAAAATGTCAAATTGAGCGAAATGAGGCATGGCTAAAATGCATGATCTGTTTGGTATTTTGAAAAAAAAAAAGTATAAATATGCCTTATATAGGTATGGTCCTACACTATATTATTCAAATATAGCAGGATAGGTCCACTTTAAGTAGTAGCAATGCAGTGAGATATAGGGTCTTGTTTTAGACAATGCATCTTATATATCTTGTTCGGACTCTTATTTTTGTTGTATCTCAGATGAAACACGATATATTTTTTACATTTTTATTGGAAAATGACTAACTAACGTCAGAAAACAGAACATTTTTTAGCATTTCTGGCTTATTTAGTAACACAAAATGTCCTGATTCTGGTAAAAAACAGTTCAAAATAAGTTTCCCAGCTAATAACCAGATCTGATTTACCTCTGTTATTTCAAGACATCTAACCACGCTCCATTTCACTTCTATTGGCAGATTTTTGTACTTTTGGAGCAGCATTTCTCCAGTGTATTCCCAGAACGTTTAACTATGTTTCAGGCCTGGGAGATCTGATTAAGAGAAACCATGAACTCAGTGATGAACAGAAACTTTCCTGTCTAACTTTACCTCTTGATTTTCCCTCTCTGTCTCCAGCATCACCATCTTGTGGTGGGCACACTCGGAGATGGCGCACACGCAGCACACGGACATCTTGTCCTGCCGGCAGTAATAAACCATAGGCTTTTTATGTCGGTCGCACAGCAGCATGGCTCTCCCCCCGTCTCCCCCCCTCACCAGCGCCTCCCTGCTGGAGGAGGAGGAGGAGGAGGAGGAGGTGTTCGCTGCCTCCGTTAACACCGACATGGAGACGTTTCTCTTCAAGAGGGGACGGCCGGGGAAGTCCTCCTGGCAAAGCGGACACTTAGGCCCGATGTCTGCTTTGTTCTGGGTGTCCCAGTGCTTGGTGATGCACTCCTGGCAGAAGGTGTGTCCGCAGGGGATGGTGACGGGGACCCGGAAATGCTCTAAACAAATGCTGCAGGTCAGGTTTGAGTCCTGAGGATCCATCTCTGAGAGAGCTGACATCTCTGTGGACGAGAAGAACACGTTGGTCGTGATGATGGTGTCTGCTCCAGAGCTTAATAACTCCCACTGGACATTTCACATTCATATTCTTTTTAATATTGAATAATCCTTTCTTGCACAATAATATCCTGCATTATAGTTGTTACTGGACATTTGTATTTCCACATGTATATGTATTTTTTAACACTATTTTATTTCTATTTCATATATCAAAAAATGTCCCAAATTGGGATCAATAAAGTATGTATGTATGTATGTATGTATGTATGTATGTATGTATGTATGTATCTATCTATCTATCTATGTATCCATCTGTCTATGTATCTATCTATCTATCCATCCATCCATCCATCCATCTATCTATCTGTTGCAGACATTGGTACATTTTGCCAGAGGTGAAAGAAGTATTCAGATAATTATCTTGAGTAAAAGTACCAATACATTATTGTCAAAATACTTCATTACATGTAAAAGTCCTGCATTCAAACTCTTACTTAGGTAAAAGTGCAAAGGTATTACCAGCAAAATGTACTTAAAGTATAAAAAGTCAAATATATATTTCTCTAACTTTTGATGGACTTTTTGTAAATCATTTAAACATGTGGACTCTTTTGTGACTCAAAGAGTTGGTCCACTAGTTTAATATTTAGAGAGGCATTTTGTTAAACCACTGATCATATGTTGGGATTATGTCACTTTATTCATTTGTAGACTTTTTTTTAAGTGTTGGCAAGAAAACAACAACTTTCAAAACATGATTAAACTTTAATTTGGCATTCTTGTTGAGGAGACATGCTTATCTATAAAACAGGCATTTAACCAAGAACATTTGTGCCTTTTTCCATCCAAATCCAAAGAAGACAGTATATAAATATCCAGATATCGAGCACTAATATCAGTGTTTATATCTGAAACCACCATGACAGTAACTGCTTAACATCTCTGTAATTAAGGGGTTAGCAATATCCCATATTCAGCCCTTAACATAGACGAAAGCTCCCCAAAAACGCATAAAAAACACAATTCAATGCTTTTTATATCGAAACCACGGGTAAAAACCAAAACAAACCCAGAAGCTAACGTTAACTAGCTTAGCATTAGCCACAATTCACGTCAGTTGACGTCAGAAAGGACGTTGAGACACAACACTCATAATATTAAAACAGTCTAGGGATGAAACTGTATATTACCGCACATTTGTACACTCATTCATTGATAGATAAAGCAAAAATAAAAGGTTATTTCCTACCACTTCTTTACATTGGTGCTCCGCATCTTAGAATCTGAAGGAACGTCTAGTTCCTGATGACGCATTACGTAAAACTGACGCCATCACGTACTGACGATCTGCTTCTTCTTCTTCTTCTTCTTTTTTTTTTTTTTAAATATTAATTAAAAATCGCTTTTTTATAAGATTGTTTTATCATCAAACTCTTTAAAACGTTATTTATTAAATTTGTGTGGTATTTGGGTTATTTGTTTATTATTTATTTATCGTTTTGCTCCTCTCGGACACCGTACTTCGGGAAAAAAAAAGCGAAAGAACTCATTCCAACATGGCGCTGCGCACAGTCCTGAGAACTGGAGCAGATTTAGGGGTCAATAATGCGAGGACATTTATCACTACAGGTAATTTAACTACTATTTCTGAATGATATCATGTTTACATTGAAGTACATCCTGACAGTATTGCGTGCTTTTCTGGTTTCATCAGTTAAAAGCAGATCCGCGTCTGTGGAGAAACACATGTCACAAAACTCCTTAGAAAACAGTGACAATTAGACTTTAAAATGAGTTGTGCCTTGGTGTTAAAAGGGTGTTAATTTAAAGTGATAGTGTCAGCCCCTAAAGCGTTATCTATCCTATACATCGGCTGCAAAAATACATATATAGTCTACTGCAGAGTTTCAATGTATCTAATATGTTTACTCAAGTCCTATATTTGAATAATTTGAGGTACTACAATTGAATATGGTCACTGAATATGGTCACTTTATGTACATTTATATTTTCCAATACTACATTTTGGAGGCAGATATTGTACTCTTTAATGTGTGTCTGGTTACATCCGTTTGCTTTCTTGTTATGTGTAAGACGTCTCGCCAAACTCCATATAAAACAGTGACAATTGAAATGTAAATGTAGTGGTGCATTGGTGAAAAAGGGGTATTCATGTACAATAGTAGTGTCAGCACTGACAGGGTTATCCATCTCATATCGGCTGCTATTTACAATACATTGCATGGTTGAAATTAACAAAGTACGACCACTCAAGTTATTTACATAATAAACACAAGAACAGAGGTGGGAAGTAACTAAGTACATTTACTCAAGTACTGTACTTAAGAACAATTTTGAGGTACTGGTACTATATTATTTCCATTTCATACTACGTTGTACTTCTACTCCACTACAGTTCAGAGGTAAATGGTGTACTTTTCCTCCACTACATGTATGTAATAGCTTTAGTTACTTCACAGATCTGGATGAATGATGTGAAATATAATCAAGTGTTAAATCAGACTTTAGTTCCACCTGGAGTAAATTCAGAAGCTACCCTGCAGTATACAAAGTCATTCAAACTAGCTGCACCTTTACCAGCTTTGAGAACACTTTCATGATCAATCATTATAAAACATATAATATATATTATTCTGAAATGGACCAATCTGCACAATGACTACTTTTACTGTCGCTACTTTAACTATATTTTGATGATAATACTTTTCTACTTTCACTTGAGGAACATTTTGAACATTTTGAAGTACCCTGAGTACCTGAGTACTTCTACTTTTACTCCAGTACAAGATCCGAGTACTTCTACTTTTACTCAAGTACAAGACCTGAGTACTTCTACTTTTACTCAAGTACAAGATCCGAGTACTTCTACTTTGACTCAAGTACAAGATCCGAGTATTTCTACTTTTACTCAAGTACAAGATCTGAGTACTTCTACTTTTACTCAAGCACAAGATCTGAGTACTTCTACTTTTACTCAAGTACAAGACCTGAGTACTTCTACTTTTACTCAAGTACAAGACCTGAGTACTTCTACTTTTACTCCAGTACAAGATCCGAGTACTTCTACTTTTACTCAAGTACAAGACCTGAGTACTTCTACTTTTACTCAAGTACAAGATCTGAGTACTTCTACTTTTACTCAAGTACAAGATCTGAGTACTTCTACTTTTACTCAAGTACAAGATCCGAGTACTTCTACTTTTACTCAAGTACAAGATCCGAGTACTTCTACTTTTACTCAAGTGCACGATCTGAGTACTTCTACTTTTACTCAAGTACAAGATCTGAGTACTTCTACTTTTACTCAAGTACAAGATCCGAGTATTTCTACTTTTACTCAAGTACAAGACCTGAGTACTTCTACTTTTACTCAAGTACAAGATCTGAGTACTTCTACTTTTACTCAAGTACAAGATCTGAGTACTTCTACTTTTACTCAAGTACAAGACCTGAGTACTTCTACTTTTACTCAAGTACAAGATCTGAGTACTTCTACTTTTACTCAAGTACAAGATCTGAGTACTTCTACTCTTACTCAAGTACAAGACCCGAGTACTACTACCTTTACTCAAGTACAAGCTTAGAATACTCCTTCCACCTCTAATAAAGTGCTTTCTAACTATCTGCCTGATGTCTCCCACGCAGCGTTCCTCCGCCGGCTCGTCCCTCCTCTCGGTCCGATGCCCAACGAGGATCTGGACACCACAGATCTGGAGTCTCTAGAGAAATACCGTAGCTACACCCGGTACCTGAGGAAAGCCGAGGAGGCGAGGAACAAACCGGTCTGGTGGAAAACATACCGGAGCTACGTGGAGAAACAGGACCCAGAGCACGGTGAGAAGTGATCAACACGTCAACATTCAACATTCAAGGCTTTTATTGTCATTTGTATTGATCCAGTTGTCTTGTGTCTTATCTGTCGGGGAGAAATCATTATTTATTTTATTGTATTTAATTTGTATTATCATACCTTTGACCTCCTTGTGTCTCTTCACCTGATAACATGTTATATTTTCCAGCATGTACCTTTTAAAGTTCTTAACAAATAATCTGAGGGGAATTTCTTGTTGCTTATTTTTACCTTGTGATGTGTTGTCATTTTGTAAAGCACTTTGAGCTGCACGTGTTGTATGAAAAGTGCTATATAAATAAAGCTTTATTATTATTATACAAATAAAGTTTGATTAGATTTGATTCCCTCTGACATCCCTGCTGTTCTTCTGTGTTTCAGATGCAGAGAAAGTGGACATCGGGCTGCCGTATCTACGCCCGAGTCGACTGAAAGAAGTGAAGGAGAGGAAGCAGATGGTGAAGGAGAACAAGAAGAACGCCGAGCTGGAGAGGGCGTCTCGTCTGAGGACACGTAAGCTCTCATATAAAGACATGTTTATTATTAATTAGTTGGAAATGAAAAACGGAGTCAGAGACAGAGAGACACAAATGGCACGTTTCCACTACAGCGCGGAGCACGGTTTAAGAGGCCTGTGACGTCAGCGGCCCGTCTTTGGTTGCGTTTCCACTTGGCCTAGTACCGGCCGGCGGGTCCTAATTCACAGTTTTTCTGGCCTCATAAAATCGCGGGTCTAGGGCCAGAGACAACGAGGCTGAGTCGGGCTGAGTATGCTAAACTAGAGAGAGAATCGCTGGCAAGGGGGCTACAACTACAACAAGATGGACATATTTGACCGTGATTTAATTGTAATACACGTTTCAAAATGATGCCGAAGTAACAACATACTGATACCGGTTAGTAAAAACCATGAATTAATGCTTTGACAAGTCTGCAGACAGACGGCAGGCGAAAAACCTTTTAAAATGCGTGTTTTCTAAATGGAGATTGGCTAAGCTAACTCAATATATGCTCCGACCGTCCACACTCACAACAACGGCCTATACAGACATAAATAAAGCAGCGACTGTATTCACCATGACACAGACAGTCTGTGGTTTGTACTTGTTTAACTTTTGTCTAGTTTCTGAACATATATGAGGAGCTGTGAGCTCTGAGTGCTAACAGCTAACGGCTGTGTTGTTTTTCTGTGGTTCTCATTGAAGATGACGTCACGGCTCCGCCTACACTGCGTTACTATAGATACTGCCCTAGTTCCTAAACTGTAATGGAAATGCGCCATAAAGTGAGCCAGTCCTAACAAGGCCTAGCCCATACCGAGCGAGGCCGTGCGAGGCCGTGTAGTGGAAATGCGCCAAAAGATGTTTCTGTGAAGGACATTTTTATTGTCTTTTTGACCTGCTTTCTCTCTCCGTCCCCTCAGTGAAAGTGTCTCTGGATCGAGTTCAGGACGAGTGGGGGAAGACCTCCGGTCCGTTTCACATCCAGAGACTCGCCGAGCACTACGGCGTCTTCAGAGATCTCTTCCCAAACGCCCTCTTTCTACCTCAGGTTCTGATGCAGATCAACTACAGCCAGGACAACGGAGGACAGGTGCATTATGGGAACCGGCTGACACCAACAGAAGTAGGTAAAAGGATATTATTGCGGCTTTAGTAATCCAATATTAGTGCCGCGAGGGACTAAACAAGAGAACAATATTGTCTGACGTGCAAGAAAAGTCTTTCCACTGGAATGCGTTTGACCTTTTATTTGCAAACGAAACAAACAAACATGCAATAGTTTCTAGTCCATATGCAGTATGCGTGCATGCGGTCAACTAAAATGGTCCTTCCCCTCCTCACTCCCCCTCCATCTATGACAAAGTGCGTGGATATAACAGCAAACGTCACCACACAAATCCAATGACACGCCCACCACCTATAGTGACTCAAAAGATGTGATGTAACAAACACAGAAAGGGTTCAAGGTTCAAGGTTCAAGGTTCTTTATTGTCAATCTGACATAGCTACAGAGTAATTATGTAGTTGAAAATCTTATGTCACAGGCTTCTCCAACAATGCAACATAATAACATAATAACAATAAGAGCAAGAGCAATACAAAAAGAATAATAGTTATAAAATAAAATAAAGTGATGATGTGGAATAGTGCAGTACAAGTCTATATACAAGTTATTGGAATGATATATATATATTAGGTATTAGATACATAATATTGAGTAGCTGAAGAATGTTTTGAAGTTGTTTCAACAGTTCAATTTTTTAACAGAAAATGCTTTACATACACCAGGTGCCGCTCAAAGTGCTTTAACTCCCTCTCTGTTATTAGTTCTGTTTCTTTTAAAGTGTGTTTTTCTGAATGGAGATCGGTTTAATTGAAGCTAGGCTGAGTTAGCATTATAGCTGCTCCTTTAACACACAAAGTAAAATAATCC